ATTCAGAATTAATTACCTTTAGATTGCTAGAAAACATTCTGAAACTCTTACGATGTGGGCTAAGTAATTATTTGCTTAATGCAATTTAAATATTCTTAAATTTATTCACTAATGACCAAGTATAATATATATTAACTATTGTTTTCTTTCTCAATTATAATCTATGCATATAATATATTGACAATACAGAGAGATCGCTGATCTTAATATATAACTTTTGAATCCTTGTCAGATGTGAAAAAAAATTTGCAATTTAAGGCAATAAAATTAATATTCAAATTATTAATTGCAACAGCAAAAAAAATTTACATTATTTAAACTACATAAAAAGGAAAAAATTCGATTGAAATTAACTAATCATTGACAGGTAAAGATATATTAAAAATATATAACCTGTTTGATTATCAAAGAAAAATCAGAGAAAGTGAAACAAAAATATCAGAATGTTTTTGCCCCATAATTTTAAATCCAATTGTCTTAAATGGTGATCATCATATCCTGATATCCTTTTTGTTTCTTCTTTTAAATATTAATTGACGACACCCTAATATGCATAATTCTTTTTAAAATCATTTTTGACAAAGATTTTAATAATGTATATTCAGGGTTGGTAATAACTGTGTATCCCACTTATTATTTAGTTTTTATTAGTAAAACTATTATAAAAATTCAATTATTGGGTTTTCGTTATTTACTACGAAAGCTATCAAAAGTGGTGCTGCAGTAATGTCTAAAACTGTAAACCAAATAAACTTTATTTCAGAATTGTTATCCAGTTCAACATTTTAATCATTTTGAAAGGCACAATATCGAAATGTGTATCTACTGTACCTTTTTAAAATTAATTTTTAAAAAGAATTTTTAAAAAGACCGCCTGCCCGCCTTGTACCCTATAAATGCCCTCATTTTGTAAAAGTAAGCCGCCATCCCTTAAAACACTGCCTTTTTATTCATATTCCATTTTGAAAAGAATTATTTCACTGTTTAAATAATAATTACACACTGGAAAAATTATTTGTTTATAGGTTTAATTTTGATTTCTATTTCAAATATTTACTTTGTTAAGATTATTTTCAACTTGCTTAATTTTTAAAGGTATCTCTTCTTTGGGGCTGGGTATATTAATAAATTTTTTAAATAATTTTAAAATTATTTTTTTAAATAAATACCTTTGAATACCCGCGCATTTAAATTTTTATTTTCTAATAATTTAGTTGAAGTTATAGAAAAAAGCGTTCAAGTTGTTTATCAATTTTTAGTGTACTTTTTTTTAAAAAAAATGTATGCTCAAAGATTGTCTCTTAGCCTCTTGCACAGAGAATGCCTTTAAATATTCTCTATCAAAAAGGATAACATATAATATTTTTGTGCAACATATGAAGTGATAAATAGTAATATTAATAATATAGTCTTTAATAATAGTCTTAGTAATATTTTTAGTAGTCTTAGTAATATAATAATAGTCTTACTCATATTAATAATAGTTTTTAATTAAATTAGTAATAGTCTTTTGTGTTTATATAGGTGCCTGGTGAATTATTGCTTTACTTTATGTTTCATTTGTAAGAAACTCACCATCCGAAAGCAGTGCACTTAGGCTTTCATTTGACGTTCTGGCTCAAATTCGAAAATATAAAATTTGCCAACCAAATGAGGTATTTTCATTGCTTTTAGAATTATTCCAATTTATCATCATTATTTATTTGATTTCATTTTTTCTCTCCCATATTTAATCATGTTCTTTAACTATATCGCTGTTTGTGTGCACTTATTACTGATAACAATTTAAAACAAAAGGAAAACAGCAAAAAAAAATTTAAAACCATCAAATCAATTTTAAAAGTACCTAATTTTGGTACAAGGTTTTTAAAAGTCTTTAATTTTTTAGCATCACTATAGCTGATAGGAACAATTTTTCAATTCTATTTTTTAAAACAAAATGTCCTTTTATCACTTAGAATTAGACCCTGCATCGAGGGTAAAACATTTTGGAGAGATTAAAGTTAATGTGTGTAGGGGGGAGCTATAGGTAAGAGGAAGAAAGTATGTCCAGTTATTAATATATTGGTTCTTTCATTAATATATTCTGCCTTTTGCCCAGAATGATACTCTATGAGGAGAGTGAAGCATTCTAAAGGAAAAGAATAGTGTGAACAAGGGTAATACTTCACATGGAAAAGATAGTGCTTTTTTTGGGGGGGTGCAGCAGTTTTAAGGTACCTAAGTAGAAGACACACAAACCTTCAAAATTGACAAAATTTAAGAAATTCAGTTCTACTAGTTACACATCTGCTTATAAGGCTTAAGTAAAACTCTAAGAGAAGTATCAGAAAAAATTTTGAACTAGAATCCATAACTAAAACTATTTCCTAAAATCTTGAAGAATTAAATAAATTTGTATAATAATTCAATGTGTAATAAGTAAACGTAAATTTACAGAATAATGTTTTTTTAAAATTCATGATTGTACTAATAAGTAAACAGATCTGTAAGAAACAGGGTTGGAAAAATCCCAGCCCATCTAGATTTTTCATCAAAAACATGGAGTTTATTGATTGGGTTTTTTAGATGAAAATCTCAAGTTTTTTTTTTAAAAAAAATACTTTAAATTTTTTTTCTAAATAAAAAAAAAAGCATGATTTGCTTCTAACAAGAAAGTTAAGTATTTGATAACTATTTATAATTTTTTTTTGTTGCAATGTAAATTTTTTTTAAAGTTTTAGATTGTTACGCTATTATTTTTATTCCTTAAAGATAAGCAAATTGTTACATAAAACATAAATCTACTCAACTGAATGATCCTTAGATTTTAATAATAATTTTAGTTAGTTAGCATTGCAACTTAATATACTGTTTTTAATTTTTGTTCAATTTTAAGTTACTTTAAAATTACTTCCTGTTTTTCACCAGAATATTTAGTAACATTAAAGTCAATTCTTAATAACTGCTTTGGCTGGAAATAATTTTGTTTAAGTTCATCAAAAAAGTATATCTGACACATTTGCTGATCTAATAGCGGAATTTAAAAACTTGTTGTAATAATTACTTCCTATTTACTTTTCTTTTTTAATATACATGAAAAAAAATTACAAATCCTAATTTCTGCACTTAATTTTACAATTCATTTTCAATGAAATGACTAAAAATGGAATGCAGATTAGTTTCATAC